ACTTACAGACAAATAGAAAATGAAGATGTGAACTCAGTTGTATTTTCTTAAGTATCATAGTTTTGTGTTTCTTACTTTTCTTTTGCTAACGAGTTGGACATAATTTATTTATTTTATCTTCATCTCTCTCGTTGTAGGGAGAGGCTAGTGATAGCAAGGGGATTGCTGAAATCTCTGGTGAGGAATTCGTTCCTGAAAACATAGTCCAGGCACTCTTGAAGCATTTTTTGTCACTTAGCCTGTTAATATTGTTAATATAGTATGATGGGATTTTTCTCTGTTCTGTTTTTCAGAAAATGAAGTCTCATTCTGTCTCAATCTTTTCCCTGATGGATATTCAGTCACTAAACTGATGAAGGTCTGCCTTTCTTCAATTTATGTTAAGTGCGAATGTGAATTGGATTTTTTTTTTTTTGTTTTTTTTTTTGGTTCTTTTTGTTTTTGGCTAAAAGTGTGAAATCTTGAGTTACTTATGTCTGTGAATTGTGAAATTTCAGGGTGGATCTGGACGCGAAACATCTGTAGATGTATCAAAGTATTTACATCCGTATGATAGAGCATCTGAGACTATGTTTTCGGTAGGTTTGAGAATGCATATTGCTAATCTGTATCAATTTTAGCTTATCTTCATTTATAGCTAATTACAGTTGACATTGGTTTGGAAGGTACATGCCCATGGTCACAAACTCTTATCATCTGAAGCTCTAGTATGCTGATTGATTATTGCAAGAAAATGAAAACCTGGAATATGTGGGCAGCACTGTTGCCAAGTCTATTGATTATGCATTGCTAATTCAAATAATTATCTTTGATGAATTTTTGCTTTTCATTTTGTGCTTATCACACATTAGCTCTGGGTATCAGCTTTATATCATGATAACAATAATGAAATTTAAAACTTAATTTCGTATATTAGAGCTGCTTGGTTTGTTGCCTTGTCAGTTGAAATCTGCAAGTATGGAGTTGGACCTACTACAGTTTATATTCGTTAACGTTAATCTTACATAATAATTATTCCTTTGAATCTTTGCATGTCTTCTTTGATCTGAGCTGTTGTCGCAACTAAGATGCATATTTTACTTCATCTAAAAGCATCATTCCTATTGTGGAAGGCAATTGAGTCTGTCGTTTACCAGGAGACATTCTGGATGATATACCATGCAAATACATAAATGGGACGATCGTCTGCAACTTAAGTCATCTAAATTCATCCAGATGTTTAAGTTACATTTTTGAGAAACCTATTATTTATATCAACAAAAATTTACATTAAAATAATTTATGATTATTTAATGGAGTGAAAAAATAGAAGTATAAGGAATTATGATCTGGCAATTTATTATTAGTTCAGTATCCTGGTCAACTGGTCAAGATACACTGGATTTTGGAAGCCTATGTTAGTTGATTTTCTTCCTTATTTTGTTCATTGGTTATCTGCTCCGTTGCTTTATTTTCACGTTCGCATTCTGTCAATTGATAAAATGATTTAAGTTAAGAAAATTTGTTGAAGAATAATGTCCAATTCTGGTTTTATATAATTTGCACTTCAGGTTTGAGATTACCCAAAGTGCGTTTCTGAAGGACTTAATAATGTGGGCTCGGGGAATAGCTCACCTCTCATTACTGGAGTTCGTCTAAGGATGTCACTGGAAAACGTAGTGAAGGATATCCCAACTATTTCTGATAATGATTGGCGTATGGTGATCTGATGGTAAGTGGTCCTCTTGTCTCAATCCATACCCTATAATAATGTCCGTTCTCACCTGTGCTTTTCACATTTGGGGAAGGAAGTGGAGTCCAGGATCTTGAAGGCCCATCAACCCCAACTTAGTCTACATCCAACTCCACAGCTTGACAAACTATCTGACAACCCAGGACCCAGCAAGGTACAAGAATCTCAATTTACCTTGCCATAATAATAATGGGATGATTATAGTAATATTTCAGTGGTTTAGTCTAATCACAGAAAAATTTGTCCTTCTGCAGAAGTATGAATGCAACTGTGTTTCTGTTTTTAGAAATTGATCCTTTATGGTGTGTC